CACTTGGTTCAGTCATGTCGAGTAAGGATGATTCGAGTAAGGACTCTAATTATCCCAACTAGTACCCTACTCCAAAAGCCGAAAAACCCACAAGTCCCTTATATAAAACACCACCTTCGAGAAACCCAGGTTTCACCCTTCAAAACCTCCAAACATAAGAATAACCTTAATCTCCATTCCAAAAACTCCTTAAGAATTGAGTCTCCACAACTTGTCTCTAGCGGCCCCATAACGAGTACTCAAAAGCTTACCTGCCCCGAAATCCTTTCCATTCCACCCCACTTGGATGCCTTGGCAATGTGAAGTCTAAATCGCAATGCTAGAGAACCTTAGGAGTTACTGTCATATCACTCGCAGCAAGTCGGCATAGATCAACTCGATCACTCATTTCAGAAACGTGCTCAACGTATAAGATGGTAGAACATAAAAAAGAAACGGCCCACTCCCTAATAGTACAACAAACCAGTAAGCCTAAACACAAGCATTCAACGGAGCCAGAGCTTAAAAACTGCTAGCAACTCTGAGGGAAACCAAAAATCTGAAGAAAAACAAAAGGCTAGAAATTGCTAAAAGCAAGTTATTGCAACAGGCAAGACAACAACCCAGCAACTGAAAACCCAACAGTATCACACAAAAAGGAGAGGGAAACAGGCCGACGAATGCAATACGCACCACAACAGGAAGGTACCGGTTCCTGAACCTTTACAGCACCACTTCCTTTAAGAATCAATATCTTCAATCTTCACAAAGACGAAACAAGGAAAACAGCAAATTCAAAAGGCAGTGGCTCTATCAACACTTGATTTGATTGTCAAAAGGCAAAGTGAAGGCTTACCCAACTCGGCCATACACTCCTACACAGTTCCACCGATTGTCTCTAAACAACTCATTCACTTCATACGACTCCGACCTTCAAGATACACTTGGGGATATTCGGCTTCATGCGTAAGTGGAGATACCTCTTTCAACCCAACTGAATAGAATATCAAAGAACCATTAACATAAGCGCAATGGACAACATCAACAAACACCAAAGCGACTCGGCAAAACGCACACAACGGACAACTCAAGGTCACCACCCAGAGGATGAACTCATATTCCCACTCGGTGCACCTTCTCCACTTGGCATGATGAACCAAGCTAAGTTGGCCCCGAGCTCTCTCTTTCTAACATGCATGGCATAACGCCGCAGTCATAACTAGACTTACCCAGCTCCAGTTGACTCCATTTTACTTACTTAGCCTAGCTTAGTCTTCATTTGGTCTTTATATTATACATGCACACCATTACATCTCCTATTGACTTATTCAATTTGTTGTTGACCCATACATGCCATGCTTAACACCATGTGATCCTTGATCCTTGATTTTTTATTTTTATTTTTTATCTTTTCTCTCCATTTAGTTTCTCTGTTCAGTTTAGTGCACATGAGGATTATCTAGAGCTAGATGATAATGATTATTTTTAAGGGGCTGCATCTACTCCTTTGAGGAAAAAGAAGGATAAACTGGATATCCCTGTGGGTAAGAATAAGTTCGTTGCTGTCGAGGTGATTAAAATTGCTGAAAAGAGTTCTCTATTTATATTCCTAACTACACCTTCCTCTGGTGTTACTGGATTGATAACTGTGGTAGCAACTCCATCATCTCTACATGCTTCTCCACCTCTATGCTACCATCCTCCTCACTCCTCTACCAACTTTCAGAGCCAATCCAAAGAAAACAAAAATCCACTCAGCTCAGTTATTAACACCATCAGAAACCCCACTCAACATTAACAATAGAGTGAGAGTATTTATGGATACAATGTGGCAGCAGCCACCACTCACCTGGTCACTCTTCCAGTCGTCCACTCGGTCAATGTACTAAAAAAGTAGTCTCAATTCGGCACAACTCCTTCTCATCCAGCTTCTGCATGCATTCAATTTACGATAGTGTCCACCTCACCAGGTGAACAAATCCATTTTCCTTACTTGGTGTAGCTTGGACTCCCGAGAGTAACATCAAATAAACATTTATAATGTCATGCAGTTTGCTCATTCCCATTTGGCCCTTCACCTTTTAACTCACGCTTCATTTGGTTTATTTATTTTCTTCATTTAGCTTATTATTTGAACACATGCATCCCATGCATTTTTCTTCTCTATTTGGCTTCTCCTCCCAACTCAATAAAAGTACTATTCAGCGAAAAATTATGTTAAACTATTCTACTACAATCAACGCCCATCGACTCAACACGTGACGGTAAGAAGATTCCAACTACACAGTCGGTCACACCAATTGGTTCCACCTAACTGAGGTTGAGATTTTCCACATCAAAGTCGGCCACGCCGACTTCGCTTAAATGGAAGAAATTTGTTCAACTACACAGTCGATCACGCCAACTTGGGCACATTGCCCTTGAATTTTCAACTACACAGTCAGTCACACTGACTTGGGCACATTGCCCTCGAATTCTCAACTACAAGTCGGTCATGCCGACTTGACCAAAAGCTCCATTTGGCATACATCGTCAACATGAGCCGAGCCGAGTGGGAGGTACATATCACCATCTCTAAGTGATTCGGTAGAGGGCTATGGTTCGCACATTCTTACACCTACGAAAGGAACAACATACTCTCCAAGATACTCAGTACTCCCAACTGAGGTTGGTCGAGCAAACTCCTCCTAACCTAGGTTGGCCGAGCGAGTCTTCCCATTTCTCCCAACTCAGGTTGGTCGAGCATTCACCTCCCAACTTAGGTTAGTCTAGTAAACTTCTCCTAACTCAGGTTGGTCGAGCAAACTTCTCCCAACTTAGATTAGTCGAGCATTCACCTTCTAACTCAGGTTGGTCGAGCAAACTTCTCCCAACTCGGGTTGGTCGAACAAACTTCTCCCAACTCAGGTTGGTCGAGCATTCACCTCCCAACTCGGGTTGGTCGAGCAAACTTCTCCCAACTCAGGTTGGTCAAACATTCACCTCCCAACTTAGGTTGGTCAACATTTATCTCCTAACTCAGGTTGGTCAAGTAAACCTCTCCCCACTCAAGTTGGTCAAGCAAACTTCTCCCAACTAAGGTTGGTCAAGCATTCACCTCCTAACTCAGGTTGGTCGAACAAATACCTCCCAACTCAGGTTGGTCGAGCAAACTCCTCCCAACTCAAGTTGGTCGAACAAATACCTCCTAACTCAGGTTGGTCAAACAAACTCCTCCCAACTCAGGTTGGTCGAGTGAACTTTCTCCAAACAACGGTCTATCCGACCTAACGAGCTGCTAGCACTAATCCGCTCAGTCTGCACTCATTTGATTAAATATACTCTCTAAGCTAAATACTCTTTAACTTAGAGAGTATGGAGCTAACTGTTAGGGCTAGAAATCGTCTTAGGCTTGACAAGGCTCAATAACGAAATAAACATGTCACAACCCAAAGCTCAGCCCAATTCCGATTGGGCCTACGGTTAAAATCACTGTGTGAACTACCCACTCTATGAGTTTGGCTATCCTACAAGTTAAGCTGAACTGAGTTCCGGCCCATTACCTACAATAGTCCATAAATAGGAAATCATAATCATATTCTATTTCCCCTTTTACGGAGATTCTGAATCTTCCTTAAACTATTAAATTTAATCTGATAAAGGCAAGAAATCATATTTCTTTCTTGATAGAGATTATCTCCCAAAATCGGACTCAGTGTCTTACTAAGATTCCAACCCCTTGGGTTCACTATATAAACAGAGGTCTGCCCTCTCATAAAGGATGGATCTCCCATAGTCAATCTACACTACTCAAAACCATCTATTTGCTACTAAGTTCTTGCTCCCAAGAACCTGACGCCTCTGCCGTAGTCTTAGCCTCTGACAAGACTTCTGGTAATCCTTATTCTCCTTAATTTTTATTAAATCATCTCTTTCAGCCTTGCTAACTGGAGCATCGGAGTGCCTACGGCAAACACCACCCCGGTGTTTTCCGTTAGCTTCACGATTGTCCTTCCATGTGTGCAGATCTAGCGGATTGTCAGTGGCCTCAACATCATGGGATCAGACCCTATTTTCATGACGGTAGATTTTTTGCATCTACAAATAGATATGGGAAATTAATTATAGAATAATATGTCAGCATGTAAAATGTCAATTTTATAATAGCTACTATATCCTTATTAATTTAACAGAAAAAAAAATCTATTTTTTGATTTATTAGAAAGATATTAATAATTTTTTATAATATTTTTAATATTAATATAAGCATGGAATATATGTCAAAGTTAACATGGTTTTGCTTCATCTTTTTTTTTTTTTTTTTTTTTTTTAAATTTAAAGATAACTTGTACATTTAGATAATAATATACCATGAAGACATTATTATACAACATAATATTTAGTTAATTGGTCATTATACACAATCACAACATTTAACAGTTAAATTAACCAAACCCCGGTATATTATTTTTTTAAGTCACAACAATAACATAAAAACTCTTCATTCAAATTGGTGTAATATTGTTATTTATAAGTTAATTCATTTTTCATCTTTACTCACCCTTCATATATATTATACCATATGAAATCTCAGTTACCTTTCTAACAATTAATTAATTGAGTGAATATATTACTTTATTTGGATTCATAACTTAACAAATTATAATTAAGCTATCATTTCCGGTTGTTTTCGAATTCAATAATCTAGCATGATTTGATTATAAGATTATTACATCAACCTCATTAATTAAAAACTTTCAATTAAAATCACCAAGTTCAAATGCATAGATGAAAAAGTAGTGAAATATATATGGACAAAAATAGAAAAATAAATAAATAAAAATTTCGCCCACTAAGTCCGCTGTGGGTGTAGCAGAGCAGAGAGGTGAGGAGAGAGCGGTCGCTCTCATTTCATCATAATAACAAAAAAACCTTCTGGACTCAGAGATTGGATATCCTATCGCTAATGCTTCCAAAACCCTAACTCTGTTATCTTCTCCCCATTGCCCTTTCCTCAACGCTACCTCTTTAATTCCCCTCGAATACCCGGTTTTCTATAATAAAAACTTGAATATGATATCATTCTTAATTTATTTATTTTTACCATTCCAGGTCCCAGCATTTGCTGCCTTCCGTGGGCACTAATAATCCCACTTTACCCTCCTTCTCTCTCACTCTAAACTCTTTGGATCCTATTCCTTTTTATTTATCTATTTATTTATTGTACTTCACTGAACATGTATTCCTATATATAAAGGAGTTTAATTAAGTATTGTGATACATACATAGCCCGGTAGAGAGAATAAAAGCTACCTTTTTATCTCCTGTTTGCGTTGGGGTGTGTTGTTTGTTTTCTCCTTCTTCCTTGGCTAGTTTCTTCTGCTCTCTTTCTTCTTCATCATCTTCATCTGCCTCGCTTAACGAGCTTCTTTATTTTAGTTAATTTGGTTGAAAGACATGTCGAGCTGCGTCGATGCTGGTCCTGAGCAACTCTGCTACATCCCTTGCAACTTTTGCAATATAGTTCTTGCGGTATCTGATCTGTCAACTGTATTCTTTCTTTAATGGGATCTGCTTTTCAGTTTTTATCAGCCTCCACTAACGTTTATTGTTTGTTTTCTTTTCTTTCTCCATGTACGCCTAACAAGAAACAACATTTTAGATCATGATAAAAGCTAGTCTTTGCTTCTGTGATCAGTTTCTCGTGCTATTTTACTTAAAAATTTATTGATTTTCTCTCTGAGGTTTCTTGATTTTGTTACAGTCAGGTCTCCATCGTTAAGACTTTCTTTTTCCTCCTTCTTTTGCAGTCAAAAAAAGAAAGTCATACCTGAAAGTCCCGAGGGATTATTTCTGTATTATAATATTGTTTTCATAAACTACAGAGTGTTTTAACGTTAAAACAAGCATTTGATGATAAGATGATGAGGACAACTCGATGACTCTTTGATTTACTTGTATATGGCATATCTTTCCCTCTCCAAGTACACAAAACTACTGTACATCACCACAACCGCAACCAGCTTCAACTTGGTGCTGTTTACCGCAGATTAACCCTCCATCTTTAACTGATTAGAAAAAATAAAATCAAACTTCTCGGTTTCGTTGTGCATGACTGAAAAATCACTGATTAGTTTCTGATCTGGGCTTTTTTGCCCCAGCCCCTAAATTTTAATGTTTTGACTTGAAAATTTGTTATTCTAAGTTAATTAATAATTATTGGATGCGCAGGTCAGTGTTCCTTGCAACAGCTTGTTTGACATCGTCACAGTCCGATGCGGACACTGCACCAATCTATGGTCCGTGAATATGGCTGCTGCGTTTCAGTCACTGTCATGGCAAGATGTTCAGGTGATATAGTTTATGGTAAAATATAATAATATAAATTAAATTCTCTATATATTCTATATCTGAGCTTACATTTAGGGCATTTATAGCCTCAGAAATCTAGGGTTTATTGGGTCTACTTCTTTTGAGGAAATCGAAACTTTCAAGACACAGATCGTGTATTTCAAAGCATTTCGCTCTGAAGTGGTTATGGTTCAGGGAAGCCTAGTAGCCGCCATAAGCGAAACCTGTTTTATTGCTTTTTGTAGAGCTGAGTTTTGCGGCCGCAGTTGTATAATGCGTCAGGACCTGTCCTAACCACCCATCAAGTTTCAGAATTTCTCTCTATTACTCACCCACTAGGGTTCCTTTACTTTCTTGAGCCGCTTTTTTAAGAATACTACCTTGATTTGATTGATTTGAATGTTAAGCTTCTAGGTTTAATGATTTCTTTTCAGGACATTTGTCTCTTCTTTGGAAATTAAACAAGGGTTCTTCTGAGATCTTAAAGCCCTTGTCTCTAAAACTATTTAACTGGGTTTTATATGCTTCTGCTTTTAATTCAGATGTTATAAATCTAACCGATTCAGTCACTTCAATGCCGGACTTTTTTCTTTTTTCTTTATCTTATAAAACATCATTTCAACTCTTTCGGGTAGGTCACTTCTCTCTCTCTCCTATTATTGTGAACACACGCAGATGAGCTAACATATATTATAAACCTCTCCAATTTTTTTTTTTTTGGCCCTGAATTGAGATAACAAATACTAAGGCTCTCAGTGAGAAAGCTTGTTCCTTTGTAGTAGAAACAATCGCAGTTTCCACGTCTTCCATTTCATTTTCCTTTCTTCAATTCTGGTTTGATAAAACCTTCAGTAGTTTACAAAATGATAATCACACATGCATCTTTTATTTGGTTGGTAAATATGTGTTATATTATTCAAATTTAAAACCATTTTATAGGCCCCAAACTACACGCCGGATTACAGAGTTGACTTGGGCTCCTCCTCCAAATGCAACAACATGATATCACTGCGACCACCAACTCATAATGTGCCTGATGAAAGGGTTGTGAATCGACGTGAGTCACCACATATTTTTGGATAATGTGTTTCCATACATCTTTTTTTTTTTTTCTCTCCATTTAAATATGTAAGTATATGGTTAAAGTTTATGTACGTATACGTATCATGTGCGGTTAATTTCATGTTTCAGCTCCCGAGAAGAGGCAGCGAGTACCTTCTGCATATAACCAGTTCATAAAGTAATGAAACTGTAATCAGCTTCGTTCTTGTTAAATTAATGTCTTCTGCGTGAAATCTTCAGCTTCGTTCTTGTTAAATTAATGTCCTCTGCGTGAAATCTTTATTATTGAATATAATTTCTGATGCAAAATTGTTAATGTAGAGAGGAGATTCAGAGGATCAAGGCAAATAATCCAGATATCAGCCACAGGGAAGCATTCAGTACCGCTGCAAAGAATGTAAGTGGTCCATATATATATATATATATACTTACATTGTTGAACTCAAAAATTTTGAAATCAAATTTATTGTTACTAGGAACTCTCATATTTACTTATGTTTTCTAGTGGGCACACTTCCCTCATATCCATTTTGGATTGATGCTGGAGACCAACAACAAGGCTAAGCTGGATGATGTAAGTACCTGATTACTTTGTTAATAAGAATTTATTTACTTTGACTTATCCATTTTGCCTCGTGTATGGTATGGCCACTGATAATAGAAAGCAACTACTCGAACCTCGAGTCATTAAAATTTTTAAAGCCTCGTTAAATGGGATAACTCAAATTTATGATATCGCTTGCTCTACTCTAAGTTGCTTAGAATTAAAGGCATTTCTATATCTTACATATTAATAGTAGTAATCAGAAACTCAGAGTTATGTGTAGTAACTTTCTTGTGAGCATGCTATATATTCTTGCCCTTGTTACTAATTTATTTATTATTTTGTGATGAATTCGTGCAGGCTTCTGATAAGCGTCTCATGTCAAGGGCAGCACTCCTGAATAAATGATGGACGTTTTTGAGTTTTCAGGACTACTCCAATGAAGTCTGAGCTCAGGAAGTAAAGAAAGACGATTGAAACTCAAATGTGTTCTAAGTGACAAGAATCTGTATTCTTCTTCAATGTTTAATTGTCTCAAGTACGTTGTTTAATTATTTAATTAGGTCATGTTATTTGCTGGTTTCCAAGTAACTCAGCTACTTTCGTTGGCTGTCTTTGTCAATCAATGACTTTTCAATCGAAGATATTGAGACTAAAAATAAATTTCAAAACATTTTTAACGAGCTTTGTACGTATATGAATAAATTAATTAGACATGATAATAAATGCCTCATATAATACTTTTGCGTAATGGTTTCATTTATGTACATGTATGTATAGAGCAGGCTAGGTTCAGTTTGTATTTATTTAGCTAGCTGATATTAGGGTTTAAGTAGGTTTAGTCAGGCTTTATTATTGCATGCGCTTCTTGGGATCAGAAACTCATGGGAAGGAGATGTATATATGGAAATTGTAGCTTTTAAAATCTATTTAACAGGAAATATATATGTTAATTTATCACTTACTAATTCCTTCCGTAACTTTCGTAAGAGAGAATAATTTATGTTGACTCATTTTAGGATTTCCCCATTTGCTCAGGACCTTCAAGACACAGATTTTGATGATATCATAAATTAATTATCCCATTTTATGCCATATGTACGTAATGTCCATTGTTTAGATGTATTTCATTTTCATTTTAGTGCTGAAATCCACAAAGTAAGTACATCAAATAATTATAAGACAATTACTCAAACAGAGATATCACGATTAGTAACGTTCAATGATAGGAAGGATTTACATATAAAATTCTCTTATCTCTTCTTCATCAACTCTCAAATTGTGCCTACAATGCAGAATTATTGGAGATCTTTCCGTATGTTCCCATCATGTTAGTCTTTTGAACAGATGGCCATATCTATTTCTTTCTGAATAAAATAAAAGAAACACGGAATCTATTAGGTTTATAAATTAAACATAGCTTGAATGAAGCTTCTTCCTTTGGAGTCTATGGCCATCATGGAAGAGTGAAAAACTAATCACATGTTCATAAGTTTCTATGGTCTCAACTCTCTTGTAAGATATATTTCTGACAAATAACGTAACATCTTGTAAATACAATGACAAACGCAGTTGATAATTTTAGAAACCGTGTAATATTTATAAGTTTCCAAAAAGATAGCAATTCATATGCCCATTTTGTATTTCTTCCCCCGAAGTTGCTAGGAGTGGATCTTATGGAAGTTGAATTTTATTTATGCATATACATTGATATACTGAATAAAGAAATAATACTTGTATTGCCTGCTGTGCTTTTGTATTTGAGAAAGTAAATTACTAAGAAAAGAGTTTTTGTGTCGAAGCATATATGAGCATAGAGAGAGAGAGAGAGAGAGAGAGCTTGAGGGTAGCGAAAAGTTTGTTGATGGATGGACCACCATTTTATTTAGGCTTACTGAGAATTTTCCATAAGAGAATCCTTCGCATAATTAAAAGTGCTAAAGCTACAGAAAACACTTTTGCAGGATACATTGATTTGATCTTTGTATTTTATTGAATGGCTGACTGGGGTATATATATGTATATAGCTGGTCAAAGTTATTATTACTTTCGTCAAAATCAGTATCTGATAGCTTTTGTAAGTATCATCGGCAATTAAAAAGAAAAGAGATTGTTTTCTGCATACTCATTTCACTAAATCAATCTTTGTTACTGTGCTATCGACTGAAGTGGGGCTGTGGTCTCCACCACTAACCACTCTATTGTATCCTCATCAGATAATACTATTAGAACTCATACATATTCAATTAGAAGCTAACCAAGATTGAATAACTAACTATATATAGGCTTGGGTTTGATTATTCAAGTCTTAAATCATGTTTGACTGACTGAGGAGAGAATGAATGTGATATATTTTCAGATGGTAATTTGTAATATTAAAGTTGATGAAGATTTCAACACGTTCTAACCTTACCCTGAAGAGGGAAGAAGGCATAAATAAAACTAATAATGATTGAATGTCCTCGGGATCTGGAAGTGGATTCTAGTAGATTACAAGCTGGCAAATGATATAATAAAATTTATAAATAAAGAATAAGAGAGAAAATAGTATGGTAAGTGGCGTGGTGGTGGGCAGTGGTGAGTAATTTGGAGGATTGCTGCTCTGCAAAAAATGATTCTGACATTAGAATCTGAAACGTCAAATTCAAGTCTGTCAAACGCATTCAATTTCATTTCAATGTCATTTCACTTCTCTGACTTCCCTTCCGCCCCCCCCCCCCCCCGCGCCGGCCCTCTCCTTCCGCGTTCACATTCACTTTCTCTCTCCATTCCAACACCAAATAATAAAAGGAATGTTGCTGTCCTTTCAAGGTGTTCCTACACCATTACCATTACCATTCTCTTTTTAGACGGACCCACTTTGTGGAATTTTTTTATTTATTTTTTTCAATAAAATTTGATTGTCTTTGAAAGGTAGGGTAGGGTCAGTGAGTAACTGGTTTAAGGGGATAAGTTCTTGCGATGAAAATTGAAGCAACATGTGATTCCTGTGGCATCATGTTCCCTTCAACAATGCTTTGATAATAAATTCTCTAATTTATGATTCTGTGAACACCAATTATATGCCACGCATCTCACTCAAAACACTAGGACACCATTCATCCACACCATCACTTCTTCATATAATGGGCTACTCTTTTAACATCATATTCCGGAAACTTTGGGCCTAAACCCACCTACCAACACATTTCAAAGATAAAAAAAGAAAAGGCAAAACGAACGTGCTGCAATTTACTTTACTGATACTGATGTACTGCATTGCATAATGCACCTAACGTAACTCAGGCTTGAGGGTTGCCCTATGTGTAGAAAAAAAGGTAATGTCGATAACGTTTTACTTTTCTTTGATTTGCATTTCTCCATGTCACGTTAACTCATAAACAATTGGAAACCAAGAGATAGCGGGTACCTGACTAGCAACAATCAAACCAACTCTTATTTTTGTTTTGTTTCAAGATTATTTCCTATTAGCTTCTTTGGTTCTCACCTCAGGGAACAATGTGGCAGAGTTAACATAACACTACAATTTTTCAGAATTCTTAAAAACAAAGCTTAACAAATCCTCTTTATAGAAAACTAAAGGAAAAGACAACCAAAATATGTCATGACTTTTACTAATAGCAGATGGCATCTTTCCCAATCGAACTGAAAGATATCCTTGTCTCTTCTGATCCAAAATTAAACTTAAGATCTGAAGCATCATCATGGGTAACAGCATTGCTTGTAGAAGGGAAAGCAAAAACGAGGGAAGGAGTTGATTTATTCGATCCAAAACTGTATGTAGGAACTGCAGCTTCCTTGTTTGGCTGATGGATGCCACTGGCTGGAAATGATGGCATGACTGTTGGTGTTGGAGGCTCAGAGAACACTCCAGTAGATGCAGAAACAGGAAAACTAAACCCGGCGGTGTTATCAGATGAAAATGCCCACCTCTGGGCAGGCTTGCCAACAGAAATGGAAGACAAAACCGGTTTAGTCCCCACTGAATCAGATGAAGGCTTCCTCTGTAGATTTGGTACCTCACCATCCGCAGCACTTGAAGCAAGAATTGAGTCATTCTGCCCAATAATTTGATTAGTTAACACTTGTTTCAAGTAAATCCACAAGCTAGTAAACACTACACAAAAGAAAATACTTGATCAAATAATCAATCTGAACCAAAGTCCATTGCTTCGTCAACTAGTATAATGAAAAAGCCACATGTAGAAGGTAATTTGTAATTTCAAAATCAGTCATCCCAAGCAAATTTCAATGAGATTTGATGCATTAAAAAAATTAAAGAAAAAAGATAGTCTATAAAAAAGCATCTGCATCAAGGAACCAAAAAATAAGTGTCAATCATAAGAGTATACAGGCCACTGAAGAATTCCAGTTACCAAAATCATTTTCATTACAAAATCAGAGACCAAAACTACCACAAAGATGACCACAAAAACCCTTGTTAGATAGTGAATGTGCAAGTGTGGGCGGGTATGTGAGCTCTTTTTTTCCTTTCTCTCCTCCACTAATCCCCATTCTTTTGGTGTGTTTAGGGCAGAAAGAATGAATGTTTAATCAGCAACAGTTTCTGGTTAACCTTATGTGTGGTTTTGTGACTTACTGGCAAAGACAACATTTTAGGGAATGCAAGAGAACATATGGTATCGGAACAAGTTCTCTTATACACCAAGACAGCTCCTTGATATGCAGGAAGGCAGTTGAGGTATGAATTTGATAACCTAATATAATGTTCTTCTGCTGCAGTCTCATTGGCATCCCCGGAAAAAAACCACTAAAACCTTTCTTCATCTGTCAGACCTATACATCAACCACCTGGGGATGGAGAGGGAAGCCAGCGGAGCAATGTTGTTCCCCTGGCCCCCAAAAGTTCTCACAAAATAACAATCTGGTTAAATAATCTTCAAAAATATCATCTTTTATATCTTCACCCCTTCCATCAATATATCCCTTTTACCTGCAAAATTAAATTTCTGACTCTGCCGCAGGGAAGCTAATATGATACTTTTGAAATCATAGCATAAAATGAAGCCATAATTTAGAAAAGCTTAAAAGGCCATCTAGTCAATGTATAACAAGTTCATTTTAACACTCATAGAACAACAATGCAAAACAATTTAGGTGGAGCATTCATGTTCACAGAAAAGAAAAAAAATTTGAAGAGGAAAATACCTCATGTCTGCTCTTGATTTGAAAATCTCCTGTATTCCTGTGATCCTGAGAAGGGCCTGCATTGCCAGCTTGTATTGTAAAAATGCTGTTAACCTTAATGTCTGAGGCTGAAGTGGTTTTCTTCACAGCATCCATGGATTTGATAGCTCTCTCCTGAGGAACCTTAAAGAAATTATTCGCTCTAGCTTCATTCTGAGCAGAATTTTTCTTGTCAATTTGGCCGGTGCTCTTATAAGAGTTAAGAGCTCCTAGATGCAGTAAACTATTGTTCCCACTTGGCATGGCAGAGTTAACATTTGAAGACTGGGTTTGGTTCCAAGAAGTGGCAAGCTTTAACTCAGCAGACTTATCCTTAGGAGTGGGTGGGTTTCTCTCAAGGTGCTCCAATATTGTCCGAGCCATCTGACTGGAGTGTGGATGAACAGGTGGGACACCCACTTCTGAGTTGGATGGCTTATTGTCTAGAGACTGGAATAGGGAAGAGCTACCAGAACCTCCTGTTTCCAAATTTGTTTTGACAGCAGGAAAGAAGCTCTCCGAGACATTGGAATTACCCAGAGGTGAATGGCCAATTAAAGAGGAATGAAAACTAACAGACCTTCTGGATGGTGATTCTGCAACTTTATGCCGCATCCTTCGAATGGGTCCCACTGATCCACGGACATCATCCGATGTGTCTCTCCTTGACTAAAACATGTATTCAAACAATAAGAAAGGCATCAAATTATGTATCAATACTCCATCATAAGATTAAGTTTTTCATAATCAGTAACACAGAAAACTACGGCATAAACTAGTATTTCTTGTACTTAATAGTTAACAGTTAATAGTTAATACACGTACAGAGAATCACATAAATAGATTATTTGACCCCATGCATATTCCTAATGTTTTACAGTATAGTAAACAATTATATCTCTGGAGTACACATTACTTTCACACAAATTTCAGAAATCGTTATGCAACAACTATTTAAAAAACCCTTACATAAATCAGTTCTGCAATCCAATTAATTCTTAAAATAAGCAGGTAAACTGCTTACCCCACTCTCTCGCAAGTAGAGGCAGGGACAGACATATGTATGTTTTTGAACCCACAAAAGTTTACATCCCCCACTGTGAATTATTGGTTTCACACAGTAGCCCCCGTTTTCTAAAGTCTAGCTCCACCACTGCATCTCTATATTTCCTTTGGCCTGAAGAAATGGGGATTTGTGACATTATTATTAACACATAATGACATTATTATGAAAGTCGTCTTTAGGATTTTTCCTAAGTCTGTATGGCATTCTTTTCTCTTTATTCTTTTGGGTATACATATTGATATATGTTATAATAACGTAGCTTACATCACAAAAGTTGTTCTGGTGAAACTTAAACGTCCAATAAATTGACAACAAAATGGTCCATTGTGACCAAACAGTAACAAATCCTCTTCAGAGTTTTGGTACTAGATTAGATCCTTCATCTCATTATATGTTCCTTCACGAGTTTCCCAAATTAAAAAGAAACAATAAATAAACATAGCAAAATGAACATCAGAAAACATCAGAACCTATGAGAGCTTCTATAAAAAACAAGAAAATACCTGCTGATAAATAGGAGTTTGTGACTGCTGCAAGGGAGTGGATGGAATGTTCAAGCTTCTATTGCGATCAGCTTGTAATTGAGTCAGCTGTTGATGCAAAGAAAAAAAGAATCATCCCAGGCACAATTAATAATGTTCAAAAGCATCACAGTAATACAAACCTTTTCCACTTACCTTGGACTTAGACTTGGAAAAGATAGTTCTGGAATATGGGGTTCGGGGAAAATTATAAAGCCCAGATCTACCTCTTTCACTCTGAGGAGTCAAATAAGCACGTTGATCCTGTAACATGGCTCCTGGCCAGCACGTGGATGGCTTAGGGGATGGTGAAGGAAGAAACGGCTTTAATGCATATTCATCACCATTCAGTGATGTCCTTTCGTCTTTTGTTATTATACTCTTCGAACTAAGGCCTAATTCAGACACTCGGGTTCCCATGTATGCTCTCGCAATATCAATTGGTGAGGCACCAACTTCATCTTGCATCTGAAAAATTCAGAACATATATGAGATCATCAAACATCTGATTACGCAAGTGAGAATACATTGAATTTCAATGAATCTAAAAACACAGATAAACTATGCAATATGTGTACAGACTTACATTGGCAAGTTCCATGGATACGTGGTAGTTAATTAAAAAAAAAATTCAGCAACCTTTTTCTTAAAAAATAATAATAATAATAATAAAGTGTCAGAATGAGGGTAATTTTTTAAAACAATTTGGGAAAACAAAGTTCTCAATGTGCATTATTGAATATCTGTTTATTCTCAAAGAAGACACCATTTGGGAATGAAGAGACACTTTGTTCCTTCTATCCATACACATGATATCTATCTACAAAGACAAGTTCTAGGAGATATCCTTTTCAAAGACAGTCCACATCAACACCAAACACCTATGCCCACATATACCAATCACAAAGCTAAAAAAATTACAGAAGTTCTGTATCTTATAATCATGTGTTTAGTCCAACGATGTCACATTTTAGTTAATCAAGGAATTTCAGTACTGATATGCCAGAATATATTTATTGTTAAAAACAGACTATAAGAAAATGGTCATTTATTTTTGTACACACCACTCTTAGAAAAAAGTATGTTTTAGCTCGTATTTGTATAATTCATCATGAAAATTCCAACAAGCAATGCATGATAAAATAGACTCAAATTTTTACACAATTAAATAAGCAAAAGAAAGCTGGTTATCCAGGAATATGTCATTGATCCAATTGTTTGTACTCACAGATGACTGCACAAATGTGGTTGAGGTTCCCCAGAGAGCTTTACTTAAATCTTCTTTCTTTACATCAACTGACTTCCTTTGCCTTTCAAGGGCAGGTATAGGCCTCTCAGTATCTCTCACGGTCATGCTTAGATATTTATTTTCTGGTTCAACATCAGGAATATCAACAGTCCTTGACTGTAGTATCTCTATCAAATGATTGAATTGATCCCTGCACAGTAAAGCAGTTTCTAAATTTAAACAACTGATACTTCATACCAGCACATGTATGCACTAGTATATACATGAACAAAGAGAGAAGTATATCTAAAACAAAACTTCTTCATATTAGATGGCATTTATCCCTCAGTCAAACCTGCTACTAAAAACAGTGGTGGATGCAATAATAGAAAAAGGATTTTGTTGCTAATTTCAAAAATATTCAAAGTTTTAATGATTCAGGGGTTATAGGTATTTTGCATGAGGGGAGAGAAAATTTCCAAAATCCATACACATTAGGGTATTTTGATGATTTAGTTAACTCTAAGGAAACTGACTAGTTCCTGGTTTTATTTTTTGTTGACTTAGGTTAAATATTGTTGCTATTAAGATTTCTAATTCTCTTGATTCAAAGAATAGTCTGATGAGCATAAATAAAAGAAGTCTATAAAAACTCATGTAACTAAGATTATCCTAGGTTTTGATCAGATAGAATCAAGATCGCATGGTTGCCTAATGTTTTCTCTCTAGTTCTTTGGCATTGAATCAATTTCTTCTTCTCACTCAAAGTTCAATATTGTCACATCACAATTCCCAATACCTATCAACTCCACCATTCTTTGAGCTTTTCCATTAATTAAAGAAATCTCAAAGCATAAATCCCTTTCATACCCATCTAAATTTTTAAATCCCCAATTTTCAAATCCATCTTATATCAATAGTCTAGGAAATAATTTTGAGACAAAATTGGCAGATGTATCATTTGCTATCCAAGGAAAACAGCAAGACAATCAATAACCAAATACCTAGAGAAAGTTTTCCCCTTTACTAGCTGCTCAATTTCAGAAACCCGATCACCATTTGTTCCTTCACCTTTTTTGTCTTGTTTGCACCGATCAAAATCAAAACCATTCTTTGATCCATCAGTTGAGCTGCTAGGATCCAATACACCAGTTAATCTGGCTTCTCCATACTGTAAGTAATTAAACCACACAGTGAAACAGTAAATACAGAAGCAAAATAGAAGCATCTGCAATATCATATAAATACTTATTTGTCTTCACAATAATCAAGCGAGTTATCATAAAGAATAACCTCCAATAAACGGTCCCAAAAATACACAGCAATGCAACATATAAGCAAATGTAAGTTTGTATTTGAATCAGTCACAGCACGTAAGAGAACCAAAAGGAGAAAAAATGATGATAATCATGAACATCCTTCACGTTAAAGCATTTTAATAGGTCATGAGAGAGCATGTACAGAAAAATAGAACAATTTAAGGTCCGAGAAGAAAGTGTAAGTTAGAAATCAAATAAACCATACATTTAATTCGCCATCACCTCCAACCTTTTCCTTCACATCTTGATCCACTTTATCTGTTTCAGAATAACTATAAATCAATTAAGATTATACCACAAATATATTCCGACTATATTAATTACTTCCAATTTTCCAAAAGAAATTATCAATATTAATAAACTGAATGGCCTTATCTCAATTATATAAAAACCCTAATTAATCAATCACATTAAAAAATAAATATATCCAAAGAGTTTAACGAACCGTGATCTTCTTTCTGTTGTTGATCGTTGGGTGGTGGAAGCGAACATTCAGGAGATTTAGAGAAGAGGGAGGGAAGTATTCGGGTGGCGCCGCCAGATATGAGTCGGTAAGCCGGATCAACAAGCTTTGACAGCCAGCGACTACGTGGGTGCGGGCGTGAGTAGGGTGTAGACGGTGGTTTACGTGACGACGGTTTCCTGAACTTTCCACCGACGCCTCGCCCCGGCGCTTCATGGACAAATGAAAAAGACGACGTCGTTTGGTCGTTATGTTCCATCAGTCTCTAAGTTTGAGAGAGCACAGCAATAAAAACTCAGAAACACTCACCTTTCTAGTAAAGGCGGAAGCGCTCTTTTTTGACCCCTTTTGTTGAAGGTTTTTGGAGTTTTGTGGGAGCTCGATTAAGCCAAGTGAGCATTCAGTGTCCACTGCTCTCCACTTGTCGAGGCGTTATGTTACTTTCTTTACGCAGATTGTGGTGGCCCATCAAAAGTCAATCCCACTCGGACGACTACCCTGCCACGTAGGATATTAATTCATTCCCACAATTATATTAAATAATTTTTAGATTTTAGTGGACTAAGGTTACTTTCTCCAAACCTCAGGGAAGAAAATGTCATTAACTCACAATAAATAAGGCACTAAAGAAGCGCATTATAGAAATAAGCAAAGGCTATCACTTAAATAAACTGATCAAGGAAGTTGAAATTTGTTGAAAAGCCTGATGGCTGATACACAGCAATCCATAATCTACACACAAGCAGTCACAAAAACTAGAATCGCGCAGCACCCACCGACTATTAAGTATGAACAACGTAACATTACCACCCAATACAACACATTCTTTCTAGTTTCATGATTTAATCTGAACCAACCCCAATAAGGGCTCACCAAATACACATCTTCTAATGTTCACTTGTACAGTTGTACTCACTGCTCCTCTGTTGAGTGCTTCGCAGCATCGGATTCACTCTCTGCCTTCTCCAAGCTGCCTACAACCTCTTCATTTATGCCACTCTGACTTTGCTCTGCTTCTGCCTCCAAGTTAGGTTGCTCTGAATTTGATGTAGAATTTTCTGTTGCATCACCCAATGTAATCTTCTCAGAGGGAAGTTTGGGAAGAGACTTTCTAACTGGTTTTTTGTAGTGTTGGGGGGATGATCCTTTGGCAACCCGGTTTCGAGTAATTTTCTCATCCAGACTTAACCTACCCGATTGAGAGCCATGGCTACTGTTTCCATCAGAGTCTTTATATGATCCTTTGGAGCGGCCAAGCTTGGGAGATTTAGCTCTTGTTGTTGGTATCTGCCATCAAAATCAAGATATTATTACATATATTGACCACTATTTACAAATATGGGCCAAGGCTTTCCAGCTATAACAAAAGAAATTCATGTACTTTCTCTGTGGCTTATTTGCATCACTCTACAGTCTACATAACAAAGCAATTTGAACTAAAAGCAGTATTTTAACCCCATTTTCAGTGACATTTATAACTCTAGAAAATAGGTATTTACTCATAATCATCCCCTCTCTTTATAATCTCTTTGATTTCTTCTTGGAGCAGGCCAGAAAGAATTTACTTATTTTTCCAACCAAACTTCAGCTAACCAGTAAAAATATGATGGTACATGAACTAAGTAATAGAGAACAACTACTTAGAGTGAGAAAGTCTTGAAAACTAGATTGATTATCAAGATGTTCAAACATAAAAAATGAAATAACTCCAAGACAGAATACGCAGTCAAAAAAAAGGAAAAAAAAAAAAAAAAACTGGTGATTATAATTAGGAGCAAAAATTTTGCAAATGTGGAGTTATATCCACAAAGCTTTGCCAAACAATTTATTTCTATATAAAATCAATATCCATTGTTCTTCAGACTGGATGCATTATTCTGTTTATGACAACCTGATTGGGGATGGGGAGATAGGGGCTGAAGCAAGAAGCTGAAAATGATTACCACTACCTAATCATTGTGCTTCATTCAGTAAAAATGAAGAAATAGTATTTATGAGCAAGCCAGCAAACAAAAGAGAATCGTTTTTCATTACACACAACTTCAATAGGACTACTTGCTATGCAGGCCCAAGTCATATGACCTACTAAGAGAATCATTCCAATAAACAGAAACTATAACTATATTGTCCACTAGAAAATATACTACCTTCTTCAACTCCACCTTGGGTGGAGGCGGTTCATGATAGAAGCTAGGCATAGGGGTTGCTTTAAACATCAAGCTCTTCCGAAGCATTTTAATTTCTGCCTCTTGATTCTCCTATTATAAAAAAGGGTGTTAAGTCATCTGAAGGACAGACTTATTTGATGAATCAATGTCAGACAAGTATTCAACCAGTAAAACTTTTAAGAGCACCACCTGGGATTTTGCCTGCATAGTAGTTTTCTCCTCTTCCATTGCTTGGATCTTTTCCTCAAGCTTCGCATAGAACTTCCCAAACAAAAGCAAGTAATAGTTAGTAATTCTGAAGTTGATCAAATGAAGATGAAAGATAAAGTCATAATCATTTTGCAAATAAGAATCAAACAAACCTCTTTACGTTTCTCAGCTCTCTCATCACACTTAAAACTGAAGCCATATGAAGGCAGGCCACCTGTTCTTTGAGGTTTAGTACCTCCTGATTCAAGGCTTCTGTGAAGTATTCAAAGAGAAAAAAAAAAAAAAAAAAAAAATCTTCAGTAATATGAAAAGGAGCGAGAAAGTTAGAAACATCAGCAGCCAGTAAACACGGAAAGAGGCATGTGAGCTTTCTTCAACTTTAGCTGGAAGCCCCTGTTTTTAGAGGCTTTAGATGTCTTGTCTCTTCCCTACGGCAATTTAACATAAAACTACCAGAAAAGTTTCCATGAGTTGTAGCAAGACAGTTACCTCAAATAAATAAAACCACAACTTTAAAATCTAAAGTTTCTTTGACAGGCTATTAATATGTCATGATGTACAAGAACCATACCTTAGGCCCACTTTCACTGTTGTATTTGAGGCAGGTGATGCTGTGTAAGACAGTTTGGTTTGCTGCCCAAAGCAAATACGGAGTATACTGTGAGAATCAATGCCATAATCTAATCTTATAGACTAGAAATGATGTTCATTGCCATAAAGGGAGCATATATTCAAGCTTAAACACAAACAAAACAAAAAAAAGGAGTATGCGCACTATCTACCTGGGAAAGATGAGCAGGACTAGATGCAGGGACCAGCTTTGTTGCCCTGCCAGAATCAACACCCTTGATGCTTCCAGAGATCTGCCTGTCACTAGATAACCTCCGGTTAGTTGCAATGGCAAGAGGCTGCTTTGAGGTGACTGAACCAATTTTTTCACCTTTATTCTTCTTTGCTATACTTGTTACATTCTTAGGGTGAGAACCCTTCTCAGTTGTCCCCTTAGCTTGACTTTTCTTGGAGTTGATAATATTATTTTTCTCTTCAACTCCCAATTCCTACAAGACACTAATGGCACTGAGATGGATATAAAATCAGGGGAAAAAAATAACGTACTTTTCAATTTAAAATATTGCACCTTAGATAAGGTCAAACCACTGAATTCGTCAAGGAGGGTTAATCCTTCTCCATCTTTCTCAGCTGAACTGTCAACAATTGTACTCTCTGCAGCCAGCTCAATTGTTTTAGTGATCTCAACGGGCCCTTCATTTTGTGTAATAATATCATAAGCTTTATTTAGCCCCATGATTACACCATCATCACCAGTGTTTGGGAGTTCATTTTGGTAGCCCATCTCATCACCAATTACGAGATTAGCAGCATCCATTGCTCACTAAGTGCATAACCCATTTTCATAGTTACTTCCAAGTTTAATACCAAAGAGTTAAGAAAAATACACTTATAATTTGGTCAATGGAAATGTGAAAATAAAATAAAAAGGCACACAATTCTTTTCCTTTTTGTGATATTCTCGTTGCTATGAGAGATTAGATTAAGCAAAAAGAAGCATTTGGCTCAATGCAGTTGATATTCTTAGACAAAAGAGAAACATAAGGCTTTTTCCACACTGTCTCAGCAACTAAACGGCAAAAGAGAAACATAAGACAAAATCCATTTCCCAGATAAACGATTCAAACACATAACATTGACATCATATTCACTTTTTATCCACAAACACAACCTTCTGGGAAACTAAACATATATGAACAACATCAAGATAGAAATTGCCAACATCAAGATAGAAATTGCCCATGAACCCATATATCCAAATTTCACATTCAACATTTGAAAAGGTGAATACTCACCATAACAATAAGATCACAAAGATAAAATGATGAGAAAGCTAGAGCATATCATCATCTACAAAAGGCCACTCCAGTACAACACTGAGTAAACAGGTGCTAACAAATTTACACAAACCAAGAACTAAAACGCATAAATAGAATGCATAACAATCAACAAACAAAAACCACAAAACCCATAAAAATTCAAATTTTCACTCGTCATAAACAAACCCTTTTCCCTAATTTTCAAAATCCAGAAGATAAAACAAAGCGTGTATATTTTAGAGCGTTAATGCAAATAATACAACGGAGGGAGATCCAGTCAGATAGTGAAATGAGGCAGATTTCAAAACAATGCAGGGGTTTTAAAGCAAGTTTCACTCACCAAAGTGAAGTAAACGAGAGAGCTTCAGAGGAGCATTGAGTGTAGACGATGTATGAAAATGGATAAAAAATCAGAAATTTGTACTCGTACAAACACTGTTGGGGGCCAATAAAGAAAGGAAAAAAAATTCAGAGAATGGATATGATTCAAAATGCCACTTGCATTTAACCAAAGAGTTAAAAGACAATTCTCATCAACCTCAATTCATTAACTATTTAAACAAGAGCATGTGCGGTTACAGGCGGTTGAAATTAAATCAAAACGTGGGGTGATGTGCTCATGTTATCTTTTTTTTTTTTTTTTTTTTTTTTTTAACTGGATAATGGTTTCCACCTAAATTATCATTTCTTTCCACAGGATCATTAATCATTTGATCAGAGTCTTAAATATATAAAACTTTTTAATCCATTAAAACTTTTTTAAAGTAATATATTTTAATCCATCACGTCACGATAAAGTTATTATGAATATTATGAAGGTCTGCAAGGTAAAATAAATTCAAAAAGAGAAAATAAGAAAGTAGTTTATTAGGCTGAGTGACATGCACCCACCATAGTTGGTTTATTATTTTGGATAAGATTTGGAGAATAATATTGGTTAGTTGAATAGGAAAGTATTACGAGATAAAATTTAAAAATTTATAAAAAAACTCTTAGGTTTGTTAATTTAATTAAACACCTTAACATATAAAATGATAAAAACACCCTTATCACCTGCAGTGCTAGATTCCAGCCACCACCGTCAGAATCTGGCCGAAAAATTGCGTTACGACACAGACCGGTTGGATCTGTGTCGTAACGCGTCGATATGGCCTTTTCCGACCAGAAAAAGCCAGATCTACGGCCAAATGTGACCGTTGACGGCCAGAAAAGGCCAAAGAAGTTCATCTTTGGTCGTCAGCGACAGTCAAAGATATGGCTGTCGTTTTTTATCAACGATGGCTAAGATTTGGCCATCGTTGATCATCAACGACGGCCAAATCGGTTAACTACCGGCAAGTTCTGGTTGTAGTGTAGGCCGTTTTACAGATTCCGACTGCCACCGACGGTGGTTGCTGAAATCTGGCAAGTATGGGTTGTTGGGGGTATTTTTGTTAATTTTTAAACTTTTTTCTGGGGGTATTTAATAAAATTAATAAACCTAAGGGGTCTAAAAGTAATTAAAAAAATATAATAATATTTCTGGAATAATGTGCCAAACAATATTTGGAGAATAGGATTAGGAATATGAGTAGAAATAGGTAGCCAAACGCACCCATGAATATTATGAAGGTCTACAAGGTAAAATAAATTCAAAAAGAGAAAATAAGAAAGTAATTTATTAGGCTGAATGACATGCACCCACCCATAGTTTGTCATAAAGACAATTTGATACCCAAAAAGTTTGGAAATGACAAACACTTGCTCTCCGTCAGGTTATGTTAGTGAATTCTGTCAATTGAAGGACAGTGTGGTAAATTCAAAAATAGATAAAGGATAATTATTTTATTTTATCCCTTTCTTCTTCAGTCAAACTCACATTTCTTCCATCAACTCCCTATCTTCCACCTTTCTTCTTCAAAGCAACCGTTGCCACTGGCATTCTTGCCGACTTTCTTTCCTTTTTCCTTTACCTTTTCTGTTGATCTCACCTCCCATCACCATCCTCCTCCATCCCCAACCGGATTTGAAAAATCGGTTTTAGAAATATTCAATCAAAATCAAGTCTCTCTAGCAACCATGAATTCGATGTTCAACAGCTTTGATGCTTTCTGTGCTGAATTCTTTAGGCAGAAGGTGAGGGCTTCTTTTTCTTTTTGTAACCAAGAAGGTTAACAACATGTAGTCGGAGTTGAAGGATTCTACAAGGGTGAATAAAACTTCCCACATGGAGAAAAAGCAAGTGGGTCCATCTTCATCAAACTGAGTTTTGGGAAGGCTACATTTGCTCCAGAGTTGGATGGACTCAACTGTTTTGAGACAATCGTCTCCTATTGATTCAGTTTTCTGCTTATTATTGTTGAAGAAGCTGATGCCTTTTTTATTGAAGAGCTACAAACATATTCTCTCTCAAGTGAAGAGTTTTTACTTGTTTAAGGGAATTTAGTTGATTCATAGTGTTATAACCACTCACACAAGAATCAACCAAATAACAAAAAGATCATAATCAAGAATCACAAATCACACACATAAGAACAACCGGAATTTTACCGTGGTTCACTTGCTTTATATTTGAGCAAGCTACGTCCACGTTGAACTCGGGAAACACACGAGCTCGTTGCACTAAATCACTGTCAAGATTATAGATTACACACAGCAACACAAACCCCTCAATAACCCTTCTTCAACCCATAACTCACCCTAGAGATTAAACCCTTCGAATCCCTACAAACAGCGTATACAATACACCCAGAATGACCTGACCCAGTCACTCAATCAACAAGTTACAAGATTCACTCAACCTAGATTGAAACCCTAACAGACTCAAAATGGTGTTTAACAAAGAAGAGAGAGATTTACAAAAATGAATACTGCGTACAAAATGCCAAAATAACTCTGCTTTTATATGGTTGACATTAGGGTTAAATTCCAGCCGTTGGATCTTCTCTTCATCAACGCTCAGGATTGTTTCTTCAGTTTGGATCAAAATGACGTCGTTCCATTTAAGTTCTAATACGACAGCGTTTCAAGCCATCATCCAACAATCTCCACCTTGATGGGTTGAAAAACAGCCCCTGTGCTAGTGCAGCTTGCATTTAGTGAGTCCTTCATGGTTCTTTTGTTAAACTTGCTTATTGAATGCACAGCAGGTTCAAGCAATGCTTGAACTTAGCAAGTGTAACAATCTTCGTACCCATGTCTGCTGGATTGTGCTCAGTAGGAACCTTATTAAGAGCTATCTCCTCCCTAGTGATCAGATCTCTCACAAAGTGATAGCGAACATCTATGTTTTTGGTTCGCTCATGGTACACTGGATTTTTACTCAGGTGTATTGCACTTTGACTATCTGAAAAAAAATGGTTGGCTTCAGTTCAGACAAGTTTGCTTCACTCAGAATCCCTTTGAGCCAAATTGCCTTCTTAAATACATCATCTACAGCCATATATTCGGCCTCAGTTGTTGATAGTGCAACTATAGGCTGTAATTGTGACTTCTAGCTGATGCAGTTGCCCCCCAAGGTAAAGTAATATGTAGTGGTTGACTTCTTAGTGTCCTTGTCATCTACAAAATCAGAGTCTACAAAACCAGCCAGCTCAAGTGAGGCAGATCTTTTACAGTATTCCAGTCCCACATTTAAAGAGCCATTAACATATTTGAGTACCCACTTCAGGGCTGTCCAATGTTCCATACCAGGATTGGACATAAATCTACTCAACAATGATATCACAAATGATAAGTCAAGCCTAGTACTAATCATAGCATACATCAAGGATCCAATTACATTTGCATAGGGTATGATCTCCATTTTAATTAACTCAGCATCAGTATTAGGGCATTGAGCCTTGCTTAATGTGAAATGGTTAGCTAAAGGCATTGAGACAGTTTTGGTCCCTGACATTCCAAATTTTTCTACTAACTTATGTAGGCATGAGCACAGGTGAATTTTCAGTTCGCATTTACTTCTGTTTCTATCAATTTGCATGCCTAAAATCTTCCTAGCATCCCCTAGGTCTTTCATTTCAAATTTAGCATTCAGTTTATTCTTTAACACACAGATTAGAGGCTTTGATTTGCTTATCAGTAACATGTCATCTACATACAGCAGTAAGTAAATAGGTATTTCATCCAAAACAGCTAAGTAGAAACAACTGTCATACTTACTCCTAGTGAATCCTATACTTACTATAAAGGTGTCAAACCTCTTATACCATTGCCTAGGGGATTGCTTTAGACCATATAAAGATTTCAGCAGTAGGCAGACATGGTTAGGGGCCTTTTTATCTATGAAACCTAAGGGTTGGCTCATGTAGATCTCTTCCTCAAGATCTCCATGTAGGAATGCAGTTATAACATCTAATTATTCAAGCTCTAGATCCTGGTGGGCTACTATGGACAGCATGAGCCTTATGGTTTTGTACTTAACTACTGGGGAAAAGACTTCATTGAAGTTTATTCCCTCTCTTTGGGTGAAACCCTTGGCTACTAGTCTAGCCTTATACTTGAGGGGATCCTTTTCAGTGATACCTTCCTTTAGTTTGAACAGCCACTTGCATTATACAAGTTTCTGGTCCTTAGGCTTTGGTACAAGTTTCCAAGTTCTGTTCACCTCCAAGGACTTCATTTTAGCTTCCATAAAAGCCTTCCATTGGTTTATTTCCTTTGTCTGCATGGCTTCCTCATAGGTTTTTAGTTCTCTTCTTTGTACTTCAGTACCTGCAAGGAGGGCAGTATATATTAGATCAGCATAGGAATATCTTGTAGGTGCCCTTACTTGTCTTCTGGTTCTGTCTCTTGCAAGCTGGTAGTCTTGCAAGTTTTCAGGTTGAATCTCAATGTCATCTGCTGTTTCTATCTCATCCTCATGTTCTGGATAAGTTTGTCCAGTTTCTCTTCCATGTTCAGTAACAGCTTCAGTTTCTTGGCTGGTTTGAGTTTGAGCAAGAAGCTCCACCTCAATTGGTGTAACTTCAGGTTGGGTAAAGGGATCATCTGAACTTGAAATAGGGTCAGTTCTAGTTCTAGTTTCCTTACAAGGAAAGACTCCTTCATTGAATACCACATCTCTGCTCACAATGATTCTAACCCCTGGAGAATCTCTATCCCAAAGTCTATAACCTTTGGTCCCTTCTTGATACCCCAAGAATATGCACTTGGTTGACCTTGGTTCCAATTTTCTTCCTGTGGTGTGTGCATAAGCTGCACACCCAAAAACTCTTAGGTGGCTTAGAGCTGGGACTCTACCAGTCCACATTTCCTCAGGGCTCTTTAGGTTTATTGCAATAGATAGACTCCTATTTACCAGGTATGTTGCTGTTGTAAGGGCTTCTCCCTAAAAGGAGGTGGGGAGTTTAGAGGTTATTAACAGGCACCTAACTTTATCAATGAGGGTTCTATTCATTCGTTTTGCCACTCCATTCTGTTGTGGGGTATAGGTTACTATCCTATGTCTTAAAACCCCTTGGTCACAACAAAACTTGTCAAATTCTTGGTTACAGAATTCCAGCCCATTGTCTGTTCTAAGAACCTTCACCTTTTTTCCTATTTGGTTCTCTACTAGGGTTTTCCAGTCCTTAAACCTAGCTAGAGCC